TTCAGTGTTAAAGGTTGGTGAAATTACTTTGACTGGCATCGGAGGTTTGAGGAACATTTTTTATTTATTTTGAAAAGGCCATGACTTAGAAACTTTGAGAAACTCTGGCATAAGCATTAAAGACAGGATAGATCTGGTATTGTCTAACTAAACATTTTCTACGTGATAGTACTGGCCTCTAGTCAGAGTGCTAAGCTCAGGTGTCTAATCATCACCATCCTCAACATATGACCGAGGAGTAAATAAAAAGCCATGCTAGGTTGATTTAGCCAAGATCAACTATTGAGCAGTAAAAGAACATTTCTCAGCTCGTACTGGGAATGGCTATATTTTGAAATAAAATGGTGATGTGATGAATTGAGTTCAGTTTCTTTTGAAGTGTAAGTTGATTTCCAGGAGTGCAAAAAGCTCTCACGCTATGGTTTAATTTGTTCTCACATCTTACTCTCTATGGAACTACGATGTCCATACACAGCCTCCAGTGTCACTGTACTTCACTGATTCTTTACACAAGCGACAAAACATGTTTCAAATTTTGATATATTTATTTTTTAACACCAACATAATTTTTTAAGTTCAGTTCAGTTTTATCTATATAATGCCAACTCACAACATGTGTCATTTCATAGCACTTCACACAGTAAGGCCAAGACCTTACCAATTCTACCAAGTGTGTGCATTTGTAGGTCTCAGCTAGCAATCCTGTGAAGGCATCGGGTTTTGGTTGAGTGTTTTTAAAATGAGCTGACAGAGGTTAGAACAGGGGTGTCCAATCCTGGTCCTTGAGGGCCACAATCCTGCATGTTTTAGATGTGTCCCTCTTCCAACACACCTGATTCACATGATCAGAATTATTATCAGGCATCTGCAGAGCTTAATGATGAGCTGATCCCTTGAATCAGGTGTGTTGGAAGAGGGAAACATCTAGAACATGCAGGACTGTGGCCCTCGAGGACCAGGATTGGACACCTCTGGGTTAGAAGGTTAGAAGGACCACCACACACTCGTGCAACATAAACATTTTATTCAGTGAAGTGCAATGTGATCGGCTGCATGGTTGGGGAGAAACCATGGTTAAGACTTAGCGCTCCCTTCGTAGGTGCACAGATACGTCCATATTGCTCGGCACATGATTGGCACACAATTCATCCAATCAGCAGCAACCATACCCCGGAAACAGAACCTCCCTACTGGTATTTCCTGCTCTCCGGCTGTTGATACTTTTCATTTGTTAGCTGCTGTGTGATGCATCTGCTGATATCTTACAGGGAGGATGTGATGACTATCAGTGCAAAACAGCCTCAGCAGAGCGGAGGTACGCTATGTGCCAGTGTGGTTAATTTTGTAAAACACCTTCATCAGAGCAGAAGCATGCTACGTATTCCTTCTATGTGATCTGGCATAACCTTGGTGTGTTCAGGGCCTGCGACTGCCGGGGGAAGCCGTTTGTGCTCCTTTTGAGCTGTAAAGTTGCCAGTTTCATATAAATAAGTGGAGAATCTCTCACAGGCCCAAACTAGAAACAAGGCACTCTTTCTCTGTCAGCACACTTCTCAGCGTCAGTCACTGTTCCGGATCAGTGGTTCTCAAACTTTCTGAGTCACGACCCCCAAGATAACAGAAGTTTGTGTTCGTGACCCCCCTGTTTGAATTTTTAAAATGGCATAAGTAAAAACTTTGTTGTTCACTCATTAATGTGTTAAAAATTAATGTGTTAATTCCACAGATTAGGCTCTTTACAGGAGACATTAATTTTCTTTTGAATTGATGAATGACTTGAATTTATTTCAAACAAATGAAAGGGAAAAAAAAACAAAAACAAAAGAAAATAATTTTAAAAAGAGCAAAATCTTGGGACCCCTATGGGGGTCCTGACCCCCCAGTTTCAGACCAGCAGCAACCCACTCAGCACATAGCTGCTTGTTTCACTGGTTTACATCATAGAATGCAAGAACGGCTGCAGTGGAGATGTTTTCTATTGGCAAAACAATTGTAGTTTGTTTGCTTGTTTGATTTTGCTTTTGTTTTTTTGTGTTTTTTTAAAAAATTCTAAACACCAAATGATGACACCATCACACTGAGGAGTATGAGGCATAATAAATAGTGTGCTAGTACACTAACTACATGCATAAACCTCAAATACCCCACTTGAACATGGGGTTGACTAAACTGCAGCTTGAAGTCAGTTGTCTGCAGTGGAAAATTCATTACAGGAATGTGATTAACATCACATAAAGAGGACGTACAACTGCATGAGAGTATCCACCAAGGAGTGTTTATTCATTAAAATGAACTTCTCTGATGTAGGTTCAAGGTGCCATATTTCCATGTTTACCACTAGATGTCCTCAAAGTTTTACTAAATGTAGTAACGATCTGTCGCTGTTGGAAGTGTCACAGCTAAACGTTCACTAAGCAGGAGTCACCAAAGCATTAATGCTGGATTATATGGAGAACTTTTCTTTTTCAAACTTTTCAAACCGGCGACCTTCTTGCTGTGAGGCAACGGTGCTAAACACCACCCCACCTTGGTCTATTTTGACTCTGATGAAGACGCACTAGGGTTGGAACGTTAGTCTGCAATAAAAGGTTTAGAATCAAGCAGCCCTCCTTTGTGTGGTTTGAAAAAGGGCTTTCATTTCCTATCTGTATTACGAAGAAGTCAGTATGGGAGAGGAACATAAAAGCTCAGCCAATATTGAAAGTCATTTTTAAAAATGACTAAGAAAGGTCATTGTACTCTGGCAGCTTTTTACACTGGTCATGCTTTTAGCCCTACAGTTGGGTCACGTAGGGAACATCCTCTGTAGACCCTTAGATAATAAAGGACAGTAGAAAACTACAGTGTTTTACCTCTTCTCCACGACTACCTTTGAGACTTAAACAGTCGATGTGCATGTCGTCCATAATCCTTATCATACTAAGTCCAGTGAATACATCAAGCTCATCATCCCCAGGACCTCCACTATTTTTGGCCGTAACTCTTTTGACTGGAACACTTTACCAAACACTCAAACCTGCAACTCTGACTCCGCTCATCACCTTCAAGCTTAAAATCCATCAGATTGTAGTTGACTGTTGCTCCTGCTGATCACGCTGGACTTTACTTACATACTTATATACACACACTTTCTTACACCTCGTGCACATCTTTTTTTCACTCGCATGCATACGCCCCCATGCTTCTTACTTGTTTACTTTTGTTCTATGTTGTGTTTATGTGTCTATTTGTGTCTGTAATTTACATGTGTATTCCTTCCTGCTGGTGCGTCTTGGTCAGCATAGGCGGCTACAGTGGCCATGGCCTCTCCTGGAATCTGATTGGTCCAAAAGATCCCAAAAGTCCTGAACAGTTAAGAAGAAGCCAAGTGAGGGTCAGACCAGTGACCCAGACAGGTTCCAGGGGGACAGTTCTGAGGACAGGCATCCAAAGCAGGACCAGTCCAGCAGCTGGAGCCCATCATCAGCACCAGAGCAGGACAGACAGACGTTCCTCAGAGCAAATGAAGAACATTTTTAATACAAAAGAGGAGAGCATTGTGTTTATGTGTGTATTTACATGTAGGTATCGTTGTAATGTACCGTGAGCCATCAGGCTGTTATTGACATCAGTCTTCACTGTGGATCAGTTTGAGTGTCATGAGCTGCTTTTGAAATAAGCAGTTATTGTACATTCCATGTTGTACAAGTATGTTCTGACCAGAAACCTTTTCCCAGATCATGTTTATTTTGTTTGATCTATTTAATCAGGTTACGTCTATATTTAGTCATACAGTGTGAGTACAAGTAAGGAACACTTCTTGAGAAATTGCTGTAGGCTACATCTACGAATACAGCAGTAATTGGGTTAAAAAAACACAGCCTTGGCCCCCCAAAAATAAAACCTAGAATCGCCACTGTTGGCCAGGTCATGTTTGCAAACGGTTCTGAAACATTTCTACCTGGTAGAATAAAGGTCAAATAAATAAATATAAATGAACATGGGTGTTTCACTTTATATATTCTAAGGAAAGCCACAGCAGTTCTCTATGTGACACGTAAAACATGTTAAACGTGGTTTCCAGATCACAGGACCCGCACACAGACAGCCGCTTCCTGTGGGGGATGCGCACCAGACTGCTGAGTGGTTTGGTTCGGTTTGTTCAAGGGTTCGTCTAAATGCGAAAAGAGCTTCATTCCTTGATCCAAAATCAAATTCAGGTCGCTCCAGTATTGTTGTATATGAGATCAACAAGTTCCTGAAATTGTGAATTAAACGCAAGTGGTTGTGGAAATTCTGACAATACAAATTAATAATAACTAAACTGGAATGTTGATCCAAAATCGCACCTTTGATCTGAAATAATAGTGTGACAGAAAAACACATCGAGAGTGTAATGAAGTACTTTTAACTGTCAGTATTTTTGCAGATTGTGACTGTAATCATCAAAGTGAAGTGTCACTAGAGTTACTATCAGTGCAGAGCAGAGAGGCTGCTAAAGGCTCACATCAGCCACATCAGATGACGGAGGTGGAACCAAACTCCAGGTCCATCAGGCGGCTGTCACCTGCAGCACCTGGTGCCCAGTGAGAGGCCCGGACACCGCCGCGCCATTTCCCTTTAAAGCCATCTGACCATTTAAACGATGATTTACACGGAGGACGGGGAGGTGCTGCTCGAAGCTGGACGGAGTTCAGCGTGGGAACCAAAGACAAGCAGACCGAGGTCCGCGTCAAGCTGCGCACAGATGAAACCACCTGACACGTCCTGGCTCCAAAGTAAAGGCTCCAAGTCCTGCAGCCACACTTATGGGTGTAATGATGGGTGCTACAAACCTGTTCCCAACCACTAACTAAACTTTGGGTGTGATATTTGGCAGGGAACAGTTAAAATTTGCTCAGCCAATGATGCAAATGACGCTGGAGATGGTAAATTCTGGCGGTAGTTCATCGCCATACTGAATATTGCTTTTATTCTGAAAGATACATCCGGAAGTATGTTCCATTTTTATTTTGTCCGCTCAGCAGCGGTATGTGAGAGACTACGGGAAGAGAAGAGACGGTGGACGTGAGGATCGAGTGAACCACTGGGTCGGTATCACACAGCATCTAAAGATAAATGTCGCTCAGTGTCCAAAGCTAGCGGTCGTCTGGGTCCCTCAGCTAGCTAGCTAGCTAGCCGAGCTACTGCCGTGTTCTCATTGTTTCTGTCTGTCTGTCTCCGGTGCTGTCAGGTGGCACAGACCTTTGGAGGACCGACGCCGTCTTCATAAAGCCAGACGATCTGCTGGATTTGGAAACCTTTCTGTTGCGGTGACAGCTAATTTAATCCGATACACCATGTCTGGACAGAGCATTACTGACAGGATAACTGCTGCTCAGCACAGTGTCACCGGCTCGGCGATCTCCAAAACTGTGTGCAAAGCGACCACGCATGAAGTCATGGGGCCGAAAAAGAAGCATTTGGACTGTAAGTAGCCTCTTCCTCTGTGCTGGTTAGTGGTGTAGTCTTCCCTTATTTCAGTTAAAGTCACACTGTGAATGCTGTCTGCGGCTCTGAGGCCTGCACATGGCGTTAAATGTACCGTTAAGTTGGACTGGTGTCCTGCTCAACACAAACCGTCCATTTCATCTCGGTTCGTCAAACGTTCCCATCACTGGACCGCTGTTAGCTCCGTGTTAGCAGCCTCTTGATGCTAACAGGGTAATGTGGAGGTTTTAGCATTTACCTTTGAAATGATTAACCACAGTGTCTGGGCGTTTATTCTGACATTAGAGTCAACAGTTTAACCCGAGCAGGAAGCTGTGCTGGTTTGTAGACATTTTTTCTATCCGCAGGTGCAGCAGCATTGACACAGTAGTCCACAATGATAGATAGATAGATAGATACATAGATAGATAGATAGATAGATAGATAGATAGATAGACACTAAATTAATCCCAGGGGAAATGGGATATGTCAGTAAAAAGTCCTAATAAAACAGTGGTGGCAGCTATGTGCTGGTGAAACAGTCCCAGACACCAGCGCTTCTCATGAACTGATTCATGTGTAGTGGTTTAATCTGTTCACCACTTATTGCTGTTCAAATTTGTATTCTGTGGCTCTTGTGCTCTGTCTCACACACACATCGAAAACACACCAAGCAGTGACCTCCAGGCCTGAAACTGAAGCCAACTAGAAAATGCCAAAAAATAAAAAATGCAGTTCCTTGACTGGTCAAATGAGGCTGTGGACGCCTGCAGACCCCAACGTTAAAATGGCCAAATCTATAGTAAAAATTAACATGTTGACCACCTGGGGAAAAAAAACGTCTGTGGTCTCAATAGATCTTTTCCTTCTTCATGACAACTGTACCGGGGTTGAGTTTCTATGTTAACTGCTTAAAAAGTTAAGCGTACCCCGTAGACATTTATCTGGCCCACCTCAGCTCTGCTCACACTTCATCTCTGTTCATTTGTTGAGCGTTAGGAGGAGTTCATTACTACCAAGATGGCAATTGTCAGAACCGCCGTATAAAATCACTCTTAAGGAAACCTGTGGCTGATTCCAACACATCGTTATATACAGTCAGCACAGTGGACCCGTATGTAGATAGCACCTCCTCTCCGTGCACACGCGACATGAAAACATGCACGGACGAAGGGTTGCTGTTGGCATTTGGATTCAGAGAAGACATCAAGCTGAATTCCTGGGTAGAATCATTTTCCACTGAGGTGTTTGTCATCAGGGGTAGACCATCTTAGGTTTTGGTCTTGTAAATGAAAGAAGAAACTCCTAGCACTAGAACTTGGTAGAACTTTGATCGACAAACTGCAAACATACAATACACTGACTGTGGTCATTGCAGTTTAATTTTGAATAGAAACTATATTGCTGACGTATTCTCATGTCAGATATTTGTAGTTTGATTGATAGCATGATCAACAGCAAAAGTCCTGTTTAATTAGTATTTATAAGAAACTGGTGAGTAGATTGCATGTGTTACGTCACCCTGCTGTGTTCTGTTGAATTAACTGGCTTAGCAACAGATAGCAGTGCGTATTGCAGGTCGTGTGGTGTGGAATCCATGTTCATTTACCTCCTATTTTAAGCCTAGATTGAGCAAGAAGCGGCATGTTTAGTGCTGGAGAGTTTGGGTTTCATATAACCGCATCCTTAAACTGATGGAGTACGCAGTAGGGGTTGACCGATATGTTTTTTTCAGGGCCGATGTCTATTGATTAGTTGAAATCAAGAAAGGTATATAACCGATATTTGGAACCAGGATACACTGAATGTTATAAATTGGCAGGATTTGATGGCAGGGAACCTTTCATTCATTCATTCATTTGGTTACTTTATTTTTCATGATTACTATAACTGAATACGAGGTGTGTCAGAAAAGTTTCAGGACTGGTGTCACAAAAGATATATTTCAAATCCAAACTATAAGTTTTCCCCTTCCAAGTAATCCCCATGGAGTATAACACACTTTCCCAGGCTTCTCTGCTGCCATGCACTCCTGGAAGGATTCTTCCTTCGTGCTGGTTGATGGTCTGAAGGGGGAAACTCCTAGTTTGTAGTTTGGGTTTGAAATATGTCTTTTGTGACACCAGTCCTGGAACTTTTCTGACACACCTCATATGTAAAACAGAAATCCTGTTTACTTTAAGATGGTTGCTCAGTTTGTCTCCTACAGTTCCATCTGCTGTTTTCTCTGTTTTGTTAATCTGTGTCCCAACACTTTCATAGCCCACTAAGGTCCATATCTTAAAGCCTGCCGTCTTATTGTTTTCCAGACACTGTTTCAGGGTAATCTGTATCTGCCTCTTCACTTAGATCCTGGCCGTCAGTGCAGCCTTTGTTACTGTGAAAGCAGCCAATGTCCTGATTTGCGGTTATGGTTGTGCTTCTTGTTTATTTTTGCAGGTTGTGTCTCTTTTAGAGATCTATCAGTCATTTGGAGCCGACTGTAAAAGTTCATGTGACTTTCGATAAATGTTTCAGTTCTCCAGATGCAGTTAGCCATCGGCTAAAAGCCACAGCAGACCTCTCAGTGGTATCAGTCGCCTAGCACCATTTGTAAACCACGTTCCAGCTGTACTGATACCAAAATGTGAATAATTGTGGCATTTTCCGTGTAGCAGTGAAGCTGGGCATGCTTGTTGAAGATTGTGGGTTTTTTTGCAGCTTCAGCAACATCTGCTGCCTCACCTTTCACACACTGCTCCGCTAATTCACCGGAGCATTCACAATCTGTCATAGTGCTTGTCAATCCCAGTCTGTAATCAGTGGCTTTCAGTGATTTGCTGTTACTCATGCCGTGTAACAGCCAATCAGATAGCACTTTGGGCGCAACTTTGCTTCAGACCACAGACTGACTGAGAGAGAGAGCCGGCTGCATCACAGCCAAAGCGATAATTGGTCAATAGTAATTACGATACCAGTAATCTGAAAAATGGCCCATAATGACCTCAATAATCGGCTGATAAACAGTCACATCCTAGTGTGCAGTATACAGTCCCAGTGACCTTCCTGATTCCGTACAACCAGGTCATGCGTATGTTCTGTTGATTTGCTAAACTGAAGCCTCTTGTTGTGGAAGTGATCTGGAAACCCTCCGGCTACCAGGAATCTCACTTTAGGTTTGAGGTATGTAAAGAGGGCTGAAGGGGGCACTTGTGTTTCCTGACCAGCCAGATAGTGCTCCGATATGTCTCGCTGGATTAAGGTGAGATATGACCGTCTGTACCATCTAAAATGAGTTTGCTGAGCTACAGTTCACATTCTGTGACACTGACATGTTAGATACACTCAGCCACATCACTTTAAAGAGACTCTGCAGTTAGCAAGTAGGGAAAAGTAATGGGTGCTTGTTTAAAATGTGAAATGACTTCTGGGAAAATTTGCACCAGTGTGTTTACTGCAATGTACGCCCCAGTAGTGTGTATGAAACTACAAACTGCTGGATATGTGGACTTTGTAGGTCCCTAGTGGAGGTATTTCCTCCACTGAGAGTTTCTGTTAAGCAGCAGGCAGCAATTCAGTTTTTTCTTTTTGTATGTGCCATTATTACCCCTTTTCCACCAAAGTGGTTCCAGTGCTAGTTCCGTGCTAGTGCCCGACTTAGCACCACCAACACTTTGCTGGGCCAGAGCTAAGCACCGAGTACGTCAGGGGCTGGGGGCGGGGTTATCATGACCAACGAGACTGATGAATGCAACGCACAGGTGGTGATTTGTGTCGTTTTTCACCAGGACGTCTCTGTTCTGATCGCTGATGTATTGGAATGATTCTTGGGACACACGGACGTTTTGCACAAACTGTCGCGTGCTAATCCAGTACAATTGTGTCCCACCAGCAGCACCACAGTGTTGGAAAACAGTACTTTTATAACTTTGGTGTACTTTATTAAGACATGTCTGGTACCATCACTATTAGGGTTGGACCCGAATAACCGAACAGCCGACTATTCTTCCGCTGTGCTGGAATCGAGATATCAGTTTTGATCTCCGAATATGATACGGCACAATAAGATCTTTAAGGTAAAATGGAGTTTGGTCATTGAAGAGGCAGTTTGTAGCTTTTCAATAAATCTTTAATACATTGTCGTTATAAAAACTGCATTTTGTGATTTGTAGGCTATCTCTGTCTAATATTAAATAAATATAAATATTACTTTAATGATCTGTAACATTAAGGTGTGAGAAATATGCAAAACTAGAAGATATATATATTTATTTTTTACTTTGGTAAGTAACTGAGGAAAATATAGAACTTTTTAGAGACGTTTCATTTTTTGAGATGCGCTGGTCTGTTTAGCTGGTATGTTTCCACCATGAGGACGTTAATGATTAAGAATACTATTTAAACAGAGGGCAAAGTTTCAAACCTAAGCTGAGCTGTTTTTGTGTCGTGTGTTGCAAAAGACTGTGTATGGTGACTGACTGAACATATTGTAGGAAAGAGACCTGGGAGGAGAATGAGTGGAGAAAGCTTCCTGCTTCTCACCTTGAGCCCATCCAGTTGCTTGTTGTCCATTGAGTGACAGTCTCACCCACACCCCTGGCATACATGCAAATCCATATGAAGTAAAGCTCTGGAGCATTGCAAGATCTTATTCATGCCTCGCGTGTTTTGATGACTGGATTGTGGTTCCGTTTTCCTCTGGTTCTGTATCAAATAACTCTCAGCACTCGCATGGCCAGTGGTGCACGTTGACATGGCTAGCTGTGGTCAGACGCTGTTTCTCTTTAGAAGCACGTGACATGGGAACTTGGGTTTGCTGACTTGCTGAAGTTGTGGATGTCACGTTGGTTTCTAAAAGACATTCAAGTAAATGTGCAGATAATTTACTATAAATGAGACGATAAAATGGGGCTGCAAGGTGGCTCGGTGGTTAGCACCGGTTCACGTCCTGGTGAGGACACCCAGGATCTTTCTGCGTGGAGTCTCCATGTTCTCCCCGTACAGCGTGGGTTCTCTTCAGG